GTCCCCAGCCCCAACCCCTCCTCCCGCAGGGCCACCCTCCTCTTCCCGGCCTCCCGGCCCTGCTGGTGCCCACCCTTCCGTCCCGGTCCCGCTGTCACCCACTCCCCAGCCCTCTCCCAGGTGTCCTCCCCCAGCCAGAGCCCCCCCCCCGTCCCCACCCCCAGCGCCTCCCAGGGCCACCCCTGGTGTCCCCCCCCGCTCAGTGCCGCCTACCTGAGGAGGGGGGCAGGGGGGTGGCGATGATGCCGTTGGGGTTGACGGTGCCCATGTGCTGCATCTGGACGGCCATGGTGGCCATGGGGCTGAGGTAGGCCGAGTGGGCGGCCACCAGGGCCGCCTGCTGCTGCATCAGCTGCGGGGACAGCGCTGGCACCGGCCCGCCGAGCGGGGACCCCCCCGGCGGCACGGGGGGGACCCCCACCCCGCCACCGAGGAGCGGGGGCACCGCGGGCCCGTCCCCTSAGCCCCGGGGCGCGTCACCCCGCCGGTGCCGAGGGGCGCCCGCCCCCCGCCGTGCCCGCCGTACCGCCTGCGTGTAGGCGCTGTAGGCGCCGAACTGGAGGGCGATGGGGCTGAACATGCCCAGCTGGCTGGCGACCTGCTGCATGCGCCGCAGCCCCCGCTCCTTCTCCGTGTCGGCGAACTTCACCACCAGGCTGGACGAGGCGCCCTGGGGGGCGCGGGGGGGGTCAGCGGCGCCCGCGGCCCCCCCGCGTCCCCCCCGCGCCCCCCCGTGCCCCCCGTGGCCCCCTCGCTCACGGGCAGCGTGCGGCTCCCGTGCAGGGCGGCGATGGCGGCCTGGGCCTCCGCGTGGCTCTGGAACTTGACGAAGGCGCAGCCTGGGGACGGGGGGAGCGCTGCGCGGGCGGCCGCCGGCACCCGGCAGGGACAGCCCGGCAGGGACACCCCAAAACAGGGGCACCCCGGCAGGGACACCCTGACAGGGGCACCCCGGCAGGGACACCCCGAAAAGGGACAGCCCGAACAGGGACACCCTGACAAGGTCACCTCCAAACAGGGACACCCCAAAACAGGGACACCCCGAAAAGGGACACCCCGAACAGGGACACCCTGACAGGGACACCCCAGCAGGGACACCCCGAAAAGGGACAGCCCGAACAGGGACACCCTGACAGGGACACCCCAGCAGGGACAGCCTGGCAGGGACACCCTGACAGGGTCAGCTCCAAACAGGGACACCCCAAAACAGGGACACCCCGAAAAGGGACACCCTGACAGGGACAGCCCGGCAGGGGCACCCCGAACAGGGACACCC